AGAATCCTGAGAAGCCCTCTTTCTGTTACTAACTTCTGCTCTATCTTGTGGTGCTCAGGACAAGGGTCTTTATAATCTCCTGTGCCTCTGTAGTGTGGGACGAGGTAGGAAAAAAGCCAGAAGTTAGGCAGTGCACAGTGGGGGGGGGGATGGGATGGGACTGAGCATTGGAGGCACCCGCGTGGCTAAGCGGACCTCACCGTGCCATGGGCGTGGCCCGTGTCGGCCGCAGGAACCCCAAGCTGCTTTCCTTGTTTCACTGGGCCCGTCGCTGGTCACTGGTCGCCGCCTTTTTTCAGGATTGGAGGTTTTGTGCTAAGACCTGTGTTTAATTCCCAGCACTGAGAGAAGGAAAACGTGCTATATAATCAGTCACAAAGATGAATAATATTATGTCCTTTGCCAAAAGAAATAAGTGGGTCTTCATCACATGTTAAGTGAAATAGCTCATTTTATAAAATATGAAATGTCACACGGTTTCCCTTATATGAAAAACCAAAATATAAACTAAGCATTAAAATAAAGGTGAGGTGATAGAAAAAAGGAAAAGCTGACTTTTTGGAGATGAGAAAGATGGTAAAGACAAACAGGATAAGGAGAGAAGGGGGAGAGTGACGGGAAAAGGTATCACAATGATCAGTGTGTGATACACATTATGTCAGCTAAATACTCTGTATTGCAAACTATACCAACTTAGAAATTCCCTAATGGATACCACCCTTTTGGGAATCACTGATTTGAAGGTTTCTTCTAAGGCATTCAGTTAATTCATTGTCACAGGCATCAAAACAGAACTTGTTCTGGTAAATCAATAATGCGGAGACCCATTTTACTGTGACTTCTTTTCTTTACAGAAAGAAAGAGGTAGTGAAATGCTGTCAATTTAAAGCTTGGAATCAACATGAAGAAATATTCCCTTGGACTCCAGATGCTAATGTGGATGTGAAAGCAGCTGAAAGCCTTGCTCTTAGGAAGACTCTGAGTGGTCATTTCTCACTGACTGTGCCTATCATTGCTCACACTGCACTGAAGCCATATAAAAATTTGGGATCTGAAGAGAAGGTGCATAAATGTAATCAACATGGAAGAAATGCCAGTGATTTCCAGTCCTTTCAGAAGCATGCAAGGGCAAAGGATAGAGAGAAACCCTGTGAACGTGATCGATGTGGGAAATCCTACTCTGATCTTACTGAAAGAACTCACCTTAGAGAGAAGGGCTTTGTATGGAAGAAAAATTTGAAAGCCTGCAGCACACAGAATAATGTTCAGATCCATGAAAGAAATCACAGTGGGGAGAAACCCTATGTATGTAAGAAATGTGGGAAAGCTTTCAGCACACGTGGTGCTTGTCAAAGACATGAAAGAATTCACACTGGGGAGAAACCCTATGTATGTAATCAATGTCAGAAAGCTTTCA